GCGTTATTTAATAAAATAAAATTGAATTAAATAAAAAGTAAACTTCGTTTGTTGCTAAGGTCGCCTGCAGGTTTGGACAAATGGAGTTAAGAGCCAGAAAGAGTTCAAACTGTAGAAGAGAAAGTGTTAAACTGTGCGTGACAAGTCTAAGATCAGCTCAATTTTTCAGTTTTATCAGTTCCCGAAAGGACTGCTTGATTGGTGCTGTAAGTACTGAAGCGATTTAGGCGACTCCAATAAAACATGCAGGTCGTTTCTCTTCTTTGCCAACTGAGTTTGATAACCCGCAGCCGTTGAAAGATGCATATGAAGAGAAAACCACCAACACCAACCAAATTCGATAGAAAATTTACTCACAGAAGAGTAAGCCGCAACCTGCAATATTCTGGACACTCATGGAGGATTCATTTCGCACCTCCTTCAAGTTTTATTATTGACCAGAAATTAACCATAAAACATGAAACAGTGTCTCAATGGTTTACGATGTAATATAGCGTCCTTCCCTTTAAATTATGATATAGATTCGTGGCGGTTAATGGCGGTCAATCGGCGCGTAGATCAGATACTGTCTATATACCTCGCTTTTCTTTAGGCCAGCAGATGGATGAGATGGATCAACGCGTCTTTTTACCCACTCTATTTCGCACGTCCGTTCCCCCTTAAGGTTCTCTTTTACGTACAGAGCCGGCAGTCGACACACTTTTATCAATGGTGTTCCAGGTCCGTGTGTTCACTGGTCGAATTTTTCTTTCAGAGTCTAGCACAAACCTTTTTTTGTGAGAGTGTTGTTGTTTTGGTTGCACTTAATGATCACGAGCCCGGGAATGAGCAGTTCAAATTGTGGCTAACCAAGCATTCGCGTTACTCTGGTCCTGAAGCGGACCTGATGGCAGTGCAGCTTAGCCCCCACACTGCCTCCAAGTGGATGTGTTAAACATTCCTGAACGCTTCAGGAGTTACTCAGTAATTGACCTCAGACATTAGTCACAGCTTGGCAGTCAGAAATGATGGCGAAGTTGAAGAAAAAAGGAAAATCATACTTTTCACCTTCCATATATGTGACAATTGGTGAACTTGTCTTACTCCTTCATCGAACTGGGATCCATGCGTATGCTGAATTTTTGATTATTTCCCAACAAATGTTCATTACATGGATTATAATTATTAACCTACGGAGCTTCTAGAGAATTTTTAACCAACAGGCCAGTACGGTGTATGTAATAATCGGTTTCATCGCGCCCCCTTGAGTTGACCAATCGTCAGAAATATTCAACAAGCACAGAAGGTCTAAGAGACCTTGTCGGTAAACGCTTTGCGAATGAAGTTCCAAATACTCCTTTTGACCAGGCCTATAGCTACACTGCTAAAACTAGAGGCGTGAAGCGTAAATATTCATCCGGTTTTCGAAAAATCTCAAATTAAAGACCACCCTAGTCGCTTAACCCATATCTAGCTTTAACGTACTATTGCTACTATTACTTCTTAGGAAAATGCCCGCCATTGTTTCTGTGTACTTGTTTCTACATTTGGTCATTCATTCAAGTTGTTATTGGGGCACTTGCAATGCATCGCAGTAACAATAACTTTTCCACTTGGCAAGCAGTTCTACAACGATTTTTGTACAATTTTTTCGGACCGGTTTTTTTTTTTTTCTTTTTGCATTGCCCAACTAACAACTCTTCAGCGTGTGCTTGTTTTGTGTATATATTTGTATTTGTTTTTTTTTGTTTTTGCATATTTGCGGTTGTCACAAGTAGTTGTCATTTAGTTATTTTTGTGTTTGTTGTTGTTGATTTGCACTTGGTCGCCTTTGGCGCTTTGGCTTACTACAATATTTCCATTGCTGTTGGTGTTTGTTGTTGTTGTGTCCACAGTTACTTGAAATTTATAAGTGCGCATAATTAAAAGGAGAAAATGCTCAAGTTTCTATTGTGTACATTTCCGCTTCCGTTTTGATTGCTTTTCCATTTACCGTTACTTTTACCATTGCGCGCTTTTTCGCCATCGCCACCCTTATTCAGGAGTCATTGTCGGCCGGCTGTGGCGCATTAGAAATAGGGAATGATGTAGTCCAGTTGGCCTTTAGCTTTGTGCGAACGAGTCTATGAATATATATTTTTGCTTATGGCGTTGTGTGCACCGACTTCTTGCTCCCCAGTAATCTCTCCTCTATTCACTTTTATTTGCTGAGACAGCATAGTGAGGGGTTGTTGGGTCAAGCACAGTGTGTCGGTTTGAAAATCTTACAAGTGATATTATTTTTTGGCCGAGCTTCTCCTCCGATTTGTGGCATGCGCCTTGATGTTGACACACAAAGGGGAGGGACGTGCAGTTTTCCGCCAACTCCGAACGGCGATTGTATTTTTATTAAAAGCTGTTTTTCATGGCAGAGGTTTGCCATTGCCTGCCGAAGGGCGACCGCTGTTAAGAATAGACCTGTTTTCTATATTGTTTGCCGTTTTTTTGCATTTTTTTACCGACTTAAAAAAAAGTAGGAGGTTATCAGACCTCAGTTGTCAGCCAGTCTGGTGGCGGAAGCCCCTATCGCTTACAGGCGCGGCGGTTTAGTCAATTAAATGGTCAAAGAATGTTAGCTTAGGGTGCTAATGAAATTATACCAGCTACATATATATATCAATGAATCTATCGTAGTACAGATTTTCATAGCAATACGGATTAGGTGACCGTGTTTTCGTAGATTTCACGAAAATAAGACTACGATGGATTCAGCGATGGACCGGAATAACTCCCTGGCCAACCACAATTAACAGGGCCAGTCTCTTTTTAGCTACAGACAACAGCTATGGAGGCAGGTAATAGAACTTTTCATGCCTAAAGCAAGGAAAGCGTGAAAAAACACTGCAAAAGATTTTCGATCTATCAGTTTTTCTTCGTTTCTCCTTAAGGATCTTTGAACTCGATCACAGCCCTAAAGGCTGGTTTTTGCTTTCTCATATTTTGACGCCTAAAATTTTTCGATATATTTTAACACAACTTTATCTTCTTTATTAATGTGACCAACCGTACTTTTTTCGGAAGTACAGTACTTCTTTTTTAACTCTTGTACTACGTACTTCGAAGTACAGCCAAATGCACTTATTTGCGATATCTTGTACTCAATAGGGGCTCTTGTAAAACAAATGGAGCGATTACAGCGGATCGCCCTAATCGGAATTAGTGGAGCATTAGGAACCACACCTACACTGGCGCTTAACGTCATATTGAACACGGCACCTGTAGATATTGCAGACAAAATTGTCGCAGCACGAACTGCTATTAGGATCAGGGAAACCGGGTGATAATACCCTGGAGATCTGCAGGGTTTTGACTTCGCCCCGAACACATAGATTACAGCGGGGTTACTCCAAGAAGGGAGCGCTTAACTTCTTCACGGACGGATTAAAACTTGGGGATATGATTGGTGGAGGATTCTTCTGTCGGGAACTCTCCACCAGAACTATGTTCAGACTTCCGGACTTCAGTGTCTTTCAGGTGGAAATAGCTGGCATCAAGAAAGTGGTAGACTCACTTCTAAAGGGTGTGATGGTGGGCTCGAAATCGGTAAAAGAATGCCTAGCCTTTCTATCAGTCGCTTTGGAGTTCTTCTTAGTAAGCCAGCCTAGTTTAGGTGCCGGATCACTGTGAAATCGTGGGAAACTGCGTGGCTGATGACCGGGCATCGGGAAGGTACCCTTAAAACGGTATCTCCAGATAAAAAGCAGCTCTGCTGTTCATTTCCTTCAAAAGTCAGGCCAAAGCTATCGTACAATCTTGCAAATCTGGATCTCTAGCCACCTCCTCCTTGCTAGTTTCCCAAGTTACAAGTATTGCGAACAGAGACGATAGAGATGGACATCGAGTATTGCCTGGCTAACTAACCACTCCTTCTTTCCTGGTAGCACAATATTTAGTATCCCACAAAGGCCTCACAGAACTTCTGCGTGAAATATGCTGGCATGGTTTTGCAATCCGAAGGGACCGACTAACTCCAAGCTCCTAAAAATATATTCGTGTACCTGCATCGCAGTCCATCTTGGACACGTCAGTGTAGATACAGATGGCTTCCTTATCGGCAGCTTAGTCCCTTCTCCATTCGCTTGTGGATGGAAAGCGCATAGGAGCATTCAAGCCAAATACCATTTACCATATAGGCCGTGGTTGTATTTGCCATGGGGGTAAGGCTTAAGATTGTGCTATGCCTTAAGATCCTCGTTTTCCACAGCCCAGACTCTCTCGAGTCATACCACTGAGTACATCGTGGTTTCCTTTAGGCATACATCAATGGGCAACATATTGAGGACTACATTGATTGCTGCTGAGGGGAAGAATAGCAGTGCGCGCCACCATTCCGCAGTGTCTGAGTTCCTGTGCAGTTTCCAACCAACGTCAAAAAATAAAACATAAAATGCGGATGATCAATTTGGCTTAGATATTTTTATGCAACTACAACCACGTGCACAAATTGTTCAATATAAATTTTAATTTTAAGCCTAACAGTGTGTTCCACTTTTATTTTACTGCGCCCAAAACACTATGCAGACTTTCGCTTTAATTTTATCCAATGCGCGAAAGCTGGCCACTCTCTCCAAGCGTTCAACTGGGCTTCTAACCACAGCACTTGAGCAAAACAGCGAATATTTACTTCCTAGAATATTTAAATTTAGTTTGCTTTGTGCAAGCTCACAACTACAAGCTCAACTACTCAATGGCCAATACGAAAGCATTTGTTAGCTTGTGTGTAGTTAGTGTGCTCCTCCTGCGGGACCCTTATCACAATCGCCGCCAACCGAATTTCCATATTTTCTTTGAGCAGCTTTTTTAGAAAAATATGCTAACAAAAACTATGTGTATACATTTACAACAACAACAACAACAAGTAAGCGAAAAACATCTTGATCTATAAACACATTTTCGTTCTTCCGCACGCGCGTCCGTCCCCCAACCCGTTTCCGCTTGGAATTGTCTGCGATGGCCAATGCGCAACCTTTAAATATTTGTAGGACCAGCATTTGGCTTAAATTTATATGGTAGCAACAACAATGGTAAACAAAACAAGAAGAGCAGCAGTAATGGCGTAAATAGCAACAGCAACAATAACTCGAAGGGCAATAACGGCAAACAGCTGAGCAAACCCACCGCAATGGCTGTTAGTCACGTACCGGCGTTTGTAAGCCGTAGCGGTGGTGGCATCAACAATATTTACACTAGCAACAACAATAATGGTGGCAATGGTAATAGCGCCAATGACAGCGGCGACCACAACGCAAAATGTGATGCTGCTACAAAATTAGCACCAACAACAGCGAAATCGGCGGAGAAAACAACTGCAACAGCAACAGCAACACCTATGCAAACAGGATGTGGCGTTGGCCCGGCGAGCATGTCAACAGCGTTCATGTCAATGACAGTAGCGGCAAATGTCCGCGAAACCACAAAACCACCAACAGTTTCAGGTAAATTTAATTTGCGCCCCAACGCCAGCGTGGCGGGGGTGGTGGGGCTGTGGCTGTGGCAGCGTCCGCGGCGTAGGCGGTGGCAACTTATGCAATGCGCTTCGTGTAGTTAGCATACATATGTAGATAGCACCACGCGCCATGGCGGTTACACATTTCTGTGGCGTCTAGGCATTTCTTTAATTTGATTTTGTGTTTTCTCGTGGTTCTTGTTGTTGCCGCCACGCCGCCTGCAGACACACCTAAACTTCACTGCTGCTGTTGTTGTTGAGCACCTGGAACGCACCGTCGCCTATCTAATGCACTGCACGCTGCTTTTTTCCAATCGAGCACCAACTTTTGCACGAGAGTTTATTAAGCTTTTTCTTCTTCTTCTTCCTGTTCATCTGTGCACCAAGACTTTTTGTATGTTATTTTTTAGCCAATTTTCGTATATACATTAGACTGCATCACCAAAAACAGTTGCGGATTTTCCGCCGTGATAACAAAATCTAGCATATTTAAAGACGTCCACCAAAATATTTCGGAAAAATATTAAGATATACGTGACCTGAAAAATCGGCATAAAAATATTTAAAAATCTTTTCAACGGAATCGTAATTATGAGATTTTTGATGCCGTTTTATAACTCTTCTCAAAGATTGATTTAAGAAAAATTTGAATAACTGGGCAAAAAATTATTCTGATTCAGACTTATGAGGTCTCAGTAGAAAGGCATTTTCTCACTCTTTTTATTTCTTTGCAAAAAAAAATCATTCGTGTCTAATTTTTTTTTTTTTCAAATGCCAACATATCCTAATTAAACTTGGAATGACGCTCGTTCATCCTACCTTTCTCCTTCATTCTTTGAATACATTTATTAGCATGAAATAAAAAGGGTGAGAAAATACGTTTCCAATGATACCTCACAAGTCTTAATCGATAATATGCTGACTTAGACTTAATGAAATAATTGAACCAAGTTTGGTTACCAAGATACAGCTTGTAGACATAAAGTGGGCGGTGCCACGCCCAATTCCTAAAAGTCTATAGCGGTCTTATTTATTGTTAGGAGATTATTGTAACCAGTCTAGTAGAGTAATTAGTCCTTGAAATAATTAGTTATTAAAATATCGGAGTTTTCGGATGTCTGAAATTTACCGTTATACGGGAAGTGGGTGTAATTTTAGTTCGATTTGAATAGTTTTCAACAAATTTCTTTCTTGTGCTAAGATTATTGAGTGCACCGAGTTTGGTAGAAATTGATGAATCGGTTATCGAGATGCACATTTGTGATTATAAGGGGGCGGCGCCACGCCCATTATCCAAAAGTTTATAATAATAATAATTAACTGCTGAGTGGTTATTGTAATTATCGATTTTGAGTCAATTAGCTTTAGTAGTTACTTTAGTTTATCGCAGTTTTCGTGTTTCTGTAAATTACCGTTATATGCGAGGTGGGCGTGGTTATTGCCCGATTTCAAAGATTTTCAACGGATTTCTTAGCTAGGCCCTAGGCAAGGCTCGTACCGAGTTTGGTACGGATTGGTGAAGCGGCTTCTAAGATACAACATTTCATCATAAGTGGGCGTGGTCATGCCCATTTTCCAAAAATTTCTTAATAATACTATTTTTTACCAAAATTCTGCTTCACATACTAATTTTCAATAATTTTGGATCCAATATTTACTGAAACATCGCAGTTTTTGCATTTTTCGAAAATACCGTTATATGGGATGTGGGCGTGGTTACAGTCCGATTTCGCCCATTTTTAATACCAACCTACCCCAGATAAGGGGAAACCTACATACCGAATTGCGTTGAGATATCTCAATTTTTACTCGAGTTATCGTGCACACGGACGGACGGACAGACAGACACGGCTTAGTCGACTTCTCTTTTCATTCTGAGCATTTATGTATACATTTGTCTCTATCTATCTATCTCGATTCGTTTTGGCTGTTACAAACAACCGTTATGTGAACAAAATTAATATACCCTTGTGCACAAGTGCGCTCGGGTATAAAAACATCACGCCGATATTTTCGTATAAGGCAACTTTTAAATGATGTACATAATTTTAACTCGCACTTTATTTTCTAGCATTTTCTATCTCACCTTAAAGGAATAATTGCACCACCTTCTTCTATGTAACTACCACACACTTTCATTTAAATCACTTTAAATTTGCACCAACCGCAACCACTGCCGATTTTCGCTCACCAATCTTTGCCTTTACTCCCATTGCCAACCAAGCTAACATTCACTTCAAAATATAATTAACTTTACTTTCATTTTTTTTCTCTTTTCCTCATCTCTTCTCCGCGCACCGTGCACCGCTTTCAGGGTCTTCTGGCATGCACTATCCATCAGCCGAGAATAATTACTCCACCAACTCGAACAGCATCTGCAGCAGTCTAGCCAGCGCGCAAGATACGCTGTGGCGTGTGAAAATGGCTGCTTCACAGCAACACTCCTCGGCGGCGGCGGCGGTGGCGGCGGCGGCTTCTGGCCAAATCTACATTGAACAAACGCCCGGCTCGGTGACGTATGGCACTTGTCTGGATCCGCTGACGCAATGCGTCGTTGACTATGTCGGATATCCGGTGCCACCGCCACCGCACATAACGCAAGCATCCGGCACAGCGGCGGCGGCGTCTTCATCAACGACGGTGGCAACGTCTACGCCTGGCAATTGCGGTAGCCCACACGATTTTTCAAATATCAGCAGCCACAGTATGGGTGCGCCAGCCAGCAACAATTTGAGCGTTGTCAGCCAAGCCGTCATTGGGGAAAGTAGCCGGCGACAAGAGTACGCGGACGAGCTGCAACAGTTGCAAGAACAGTACGAGCAACAGCAACAGCAGCAGCATCAGCTACAGCGGCAGTCACCGCCACAGCCGCCACAACGTTTTGGCACACTGAAAAAATCGCGACAGCAGCAACAGCGAATGGAACAGCAGCTAGGTAAGTGTGGATAGCCGAGTGGAGGTGGGTCTGTATTTGGGTGTATATATGCCTGGGTGAACAGACATTGCTCTGAAGTTTTGTGGGAAAATGTGAAGCCGATATCGCAGATGCTGCAGTGGCAGCTAATTGCAAAGATATTAATGCAATTGCAATCGGCTGTGGGACTAGGAAGAAGTATTTTGCTTATACGCGTGGGCTGACGTAGGGCAAGTGGGTGCTATGTGGATGCGCATATGGAAGTCGAAGTTCAAGTTTACTCTTTCTGCTGATTCGTGAAATTTTTAATTGAAATTTTGTATGTGCGCGTGGTTAATTTCACAAGCGGCAACGAAGCAGAAATCGCTGTGCCACAAGAATTATTAGCCGACTGTGGAAATGAGATGTGAAAGATGGAATTTTCCGACTGACTCAGGGATTAAATTGCTAGTTTTTCGAAAAGGCTAAGCTCATTTCTTAACATTAGAGGCATTTTAAATTCACTTGAGAGGAAAGAATATAAAACTTGAAGTTTAAGAGGATATAATGTTAATGATTCCTCCCGATGACGATTTGTTCTTCTGTTTAATTGATGTTAATGAGGGCCGACGTCAGTACTCAATCAAATCTCTATAAGATTGCAGCAGAAAAAGCTCATGGTCTTTAACTACTTTTCCCTTCATCAAATTAAAGTACAACAGATGAATTTAAAAGAAAGCAAATAAAATACAGTGTGACAGCTATGGAAATATCTAGCCGTCCTTATTTGGTGCAATAATAAATTCGCTTAAAACCAGAAAATATTTTTTTAAGAACCTAAAAGCAATTTCTTAATCTGCGGAGATTTCCTCGTAAGTTAATAATTTCTGAGGATGAATTTACCAATTAACAAGTAAAAAATTCTAAGTTTTATTCCTATTTCAAACATCTTCGATAAACTTATATAGTTATATATGGGCGGTATCACCAAATTCACAAAATGAAAACTAATATTATATCACAAAACACTTTACTTCACACTTCATAAAAAATACTCGAACCTATATTTGCATGAAAAATAATTAAGTTAGATGTCTGTAATTATGCGTTATTTGACAAGTTGATCCCAATTAGCATATCTAATGAATTAAATCGAATGGTTTTTTTTTTGATATGTGGCAACCCTCCTAAATATAGTTCAGAAATAGAGCCTTTTTAAACCAGCTCAAAGGCCTAAGGATGGCTTACCACACATTCATTTTAATACTTAATAAAGCCTATGATTACTTTAATTAAGATTGACTTCGCAAACAGGTGGCAACCCTGTTCAAAATATTTGAAAACAATACCTTGGTAAGCCTTTTTCGACTGACACATATATTGTGATACATATTTAAATTATCAAATTCCTTTAATTCAAGTTGAATTTAGTTTTAATACAGATGGCAACACTCTTGCATGTAATTTGGAAATAAAGTTTTTTCAAAGCAATGTGGATTGTTCTCAATATTGTAGTCATTCATTTATCTTATTCTATACATTAAATTTAACTTTGGAAACAAGTGGTAACCTTATTCAAAAAACATATTTTTAAACTTAAATCTGGATAAATCTTCTTCGTCGGGCACCCGATTTGTGCTACAAATTTAAATTAACTAACTTAACTTAACCTCAATTCAGGTTGACTTAATTTTTGTAAACAAGTAGCAAATCTCTTCAAAATACTTACAAAGCACAAACTTTTTCGCGTGGAACCTATACATACATATGTGATGAGTATTTAAATTTTCACTTGCCTTAGTTTAAGTTAACTAAAGTCGACTTTTTAAACAACTGGCAACACTCCTAAATAAATTTAACCATTTTACATGTTTCTGCAAACGCACTTTTTTTGCCTGCTATCATTTTTTATCTATTAGGTACACATCAGAGAACAGCTTTGAGTATGATCGAGCCTTTTTGATCACA